GGCGCGTAGGGACCCAGATATTCTGAACCTGTGACTCCTCGAGGCATCAGCATCTGTCGCATTAATTTGGACGAGGAAGAAGAGGTCTTTTCTAGGTGCCTAGGGAGTCTGTGGCTGGGTTCTAAACTGTAAATTGTACATAAGACGGTGTCAGGTGGCTTATACCTTTCTCCGTGGCTCTATACTTACTTTTGGATTTTGCTTCTCTTGTTCTTTTTTTTTTAATCTCACCGTCCCTTTCCCCTTTAACTGGATGGAAAGGAAGCCCGAGGGCAAGAATCTTTCTCAGGAGCGGAGTGGTAGGACAGGTTTACCAAGAAGTAATGTTTATACTCAGGAAATCCGTCTCTAAAAACTAAGTTCCTGCTTTGTTAGAAAGCACTCGGGGTGCCCGGCTGGCAAGGCTAATCGACCTGTGAACTAGGAGGTCAGGGTTCGATTCCCGGTCAGGGCACATGTCCGGGTTGCGGGCTCGATCCCTGGTGTGGGGCGTGCAGGAGGCAGCTGAAGCCTGATTCTCTCTCATCGTTGACGTTTCTATCTCTCTCCCTCTCCTTTCCTTGCTGAAATCAGTAAAAAACATATACTTTCTTTTAAAAAAAAGCACACTGGGGACCTAGCTGGTTTGGCTCAATGGATGGAGTGTCAGCCTGTGAACTGAAGGGTCCCCGGTTCTATTCCTGTCAAGGGCACATGCCCGGGTTGCGTGCGCATCCCCAGTAGGGGGCGTGCGGGAGGCAGCCGAACAATGATTCTCTCTCATCATTGATGTTTCTAGCTCTCTCCCTCTCCCTTCCTCTCTGAAATCAATAAAATATATATAGTATATATATGTATTATATATACTATATATCTCTCACACTGGGGAAACCTGTTTGTTTGGTGGATGCATTATATTTCCTGGTGGATGCATTATATTCTTGCCTCCAATCCAGTCTGTTTGAATCTAACAGCATCTCCTATGCTCCTTTCAAAGGAGTGACTCACATCTAGGCTTAGGAATGAGCATGAGGGGCAGCAAGATTAGAGTCCAAGTTCATACTACAAGGAAAAGATGCTGCCTGGCTGGAGTTGTCTTTCCAAATCCTAAATTCTTTATCTTGCATTTAGATTCATTAGCCATTGATTGCAGGGAAGCAGGCATATATGAGAGTTCAGGTCTCTTAAGTAAGCTTGAAAAGGATAGATGGCCATTCCATTAAAATCCCAACATGCTAGGACAGTGTTTTAAAAGCTGGACTGGGTCGTGTTCTTCTGGAGACTAAAAAAAGAGTCCTTGAAGTCAAGCTGACTCGGCTTTCAGCCTCCTACATTAAAAGGTAGATAGAACAGGTCTTGTTTGCGAAATAAATTCGAGACCTACTGATCTACCAACAGCAATTATGCACTTTCCATTGTCATATTATAAGGTAGCAATGGTAAGTTAATAGATTAGAAAGGGTGGGTAAAGACAGGGGGAACCCAGGAGAATCTACTGTACTCATTGACAGGAAGTGATCAGAAATTGGGGACATTTAAGAAAGGGGGAGAGGACCTTTCCCGTAATGTAGTATTGAGTGGGTCCAGGAAGTTTTCTGGTAGCTAAACCTCCCTGGATAGGGACCCACATGCCCATGCAGTTGCTCTGCTTCAGAAATAGTTTATTGGATGTGTACGAGTGGTTACATATCATTTGAACCCGCAGGAAGTCACTATTAAGCATACACTTTTCCAAATAAAAGGCAATTTCATTATACCAGAAATGGATGTCATTTTATATGTCAAATTTCACTGACTTTCCCATCCCACATTGTAAGGGTGATACATTCTGAGTATTCTGAATCACTAAGCCCATGTTAGTTTATACCAAGATTCTGTGCTTTTTTCCACATATTCTCTTTCCGTTTTGTTGATGGAAGCCAAAGCTTATGTTAATAACTACTCAGGAGTTATAAAGTGGTAGATTTTGATGTCTTTTATTTTAACTACCCAGTGTCAGGAATTGTGGCTACAGTGGTCTGGCATTTTTTTAATTTTTTTTTTTTTTTTAACAGGTTGCAGGTGAACATGGCCTTGAGGTAAATCCTGCCCTTGTTGAAGTTTAGTTTCAGCAGATGATTTCTGGCATTTTAAGGAATTGGAATATTTTACAAGAAACAAAAGTTTTATTTGCTTCTGTCCTAGACTTAATTTTTCTTGTTGTAGAAGATGAGAAACCGTTTAAACAAAAATCCTTTATGGTAAATAATTATGATGCTTAAATTAAATGGATTTTAAATGTCAAAGCCACTTGTAGATGGTTTTATTCTTGGTCAAATAAAGTTTTACTAACCTCTAGGTGTCGAGTTTTTATCCATTTTAACCATGTTCATATTGTTTGCGAAGTACACCATAAAGCCTCCAAGAACCCTGAATTTAACCCGACCTAATCTGTGATATCTTACTTCCTACTCCATAGTTCCTGTTGCAGTAGCTGAGAACATTTTTCAGTATACACATCATCTCTATATATTAAAAGGCTAAGCGACTGGTGGTATGATGCGCACTGACCACCAGGGGGCAGACGCTCAATGCAGGAGCTGCCCAGCAACAGCAACTTTGCAGAATGCCCTCTTGCATTCCAGGATCCCTCAGGGGATGTCGGAGAGCTGGTTTCGGCCCAATTCCCGCAGACCAGGCCGCGGGACCCCACCTGCTAGAGGGACCCCACTCACTTCTCAGATGCCCTTAGCCATGGCGCAGCCCCAGGTATGGCTGGCGGGACCACCGGCCACGGGAGGTTGGCTCCAGGGTGTGTCCGGCCCATCTCGCCTTGTCCCACTGACCACCTTCTAATTAATTTCCTTTAAATGTGCACAAATTCATGCACTGGGCCACTAGTTATAATTGTTGACAGTTTGAAGCATTTCTGTGCTTATATGGCCTGTAGTGTGCATGTTTCGAGGTAGTGATCCACCTTGGCAGGGCAGGTGTGGTGTGTGTGTGTAAAGGTGAGTTGTTAATTCAGGAATCTGGCTGCTGTTTATAACAAGAGGCAGAGTTGAGACAGGAGATGAGAGGTGTTCATTGTGTCCGACTTTGAGCGTGCTAGAAAACACGAATGTTTTAGAGTGAAAGATTTTTAAGTTAACACAGAATCTTAAGTGATGAGGTGGGGGACTGTCGTTCAGAGAGGCATCCACGGGGCACTAAATTGCTTCTGCGAATCGCTTCACAGAAAGAATCATCTACTCTGCATCTTGACCCGTAAGCTTGAAAATGCTGTGTGCGCAAAGCTTTCAGTGGCAACTGGAAACCAGAACTGGAGAGCCAGTGGGGCCGGGCACTGAGGTCAGAGAGCGGCATGAGAGCAGCGAGGCAGGGTGCCCCAGAGCGGCTGGCTGGGGACCACTCTGCCCCCAGGCTCAGCTTTGCCCGTTGGGCTGATGTGCTCTTTTAAGAACATTTGCTGTACGCCGTACACGGCTGTGCACTCTCACATTTGTCATGAAACCTCCCAATCCTCTGAGACAAGAATGTATTATTTTTCTTTGTTTAAAGGGAAACATGCTCTGGAAGAATAAGTGACTTTTCTAGGGTTCGAAGGCAAAGGAGCTACAAAGTAGTCACACCTAGGTCTTGATTTCCAATCTGGTTCTCTTTACATTAAGGGACACCCCCAGAATTAGTTACAACCACTCTATTTTTTTACAGGGATGCACAAATGGGTGAAGCTGACAACTCAAAGTGATCTATTCCCCTACCCCAATAACACAGGGAAAGCAGCACATTCATGTGCAGGCGTCTGTGCTACGAGGAGGTGGGTAGTGTAAGTAGTGTTCCACTTTCCCCAATCTTGCCATCAAGCCACAGGTGCCCTGTTCCATCACGCTGCCTCCTGTCCGGGTTCTCCACCTGCAGGGCCTTTGTTAAATTTTGAAAGAGCCCCATCCTACCTTGTATAGAGAACAGAGAGGTGGAAGAGCAGTGACGACACAAAGAAAATACTCGTTTATTCAAAGGTACTTGGTGTGTACCCCTCTGTTAGCCCTTGGGGACTGAATGATGAACAAGTCTCGCTGTCTCTGTCTTCCTGGGATTAGACACAGAGGTCATTTCACGATTAGAATGGGGTAAGTGCTATGAAGGAGGAACAGGGTGTTATAAAGAATGTCAGTTTGAATGGCTGGTGTGGCTCTGGTTGAGCGTCGACCTATGAATCAGGAAGTTACAGTTCGATTCCTGGTCAGGGCCCATGCCTGGGTTGCGGGCTCGATCCCCAGTAGGGGTCATATAGGAGGCAGTTGATCAATGATTCTCTCATCATTGATGTTTCTATCTCTCCCTCTCCCTTCCTCTCTGAAATCAATA